TTTGAAGCAGCCACACAAACCATTTGTGTAACACAGTGTAGTAGGGGTGGCAGTTCTTTGAAGAGGAAGAGAGGAGTAGACATCACTGTCCCATTCTTGGAGGGCTTTTTTAACTGGAAACAGCTAATAGAGAGGCAATAAGTTCTTTACAATGTTGATAATTTTTATACCTTTCTTATAGATATTCAATGAACTTTACCAGAGTTCATTGTATCTTTATTTCTATATAATTTCACTTACTATGAGAAAATTGTTATTTTGACAATAATGTGACTTGTGGCTAGGAGAAAATTCACAATTTTATTAATTAAAAATTAACATGATTAACATTACTGCAAGGGTGGTGAGGCACTGGAATGGGTTGCCCAGGGAAAAGTTGTGAATGCTCCATCCCTGGTGGTGTTCAAGGCCAGGTTGGACAAGAGCCTTGAGTGACATGGTTTAGTGTGAGGTGTCCCTGCCCATGGCAGGGGGGCTGGAACTAGATGATCTTCAGGTCCTTTCCAACCCTAACTGTTCTATGATTCTATGATTCTAAGTCAAACTAGAGCACTAACAGTAAGAAAACCATAAATGTCTCCTGGTGTTTTATCTTGTTGACTAAATGCATTTATAGATTTACTGGGTTGTCTGTTTTCCAACAGCTCAGAAGTGGCCTTAAAATTCTCCCAGAAGCCAGTGCTTCTCTAGGCAGAAGTCCAGGACTTGTGGGATGAGTGCCCAGGGGGCATTGTAACTGAAACAATATACAGTGGTTCTGTTACACATGATTCAGTGCTCAGTGTAGGTGGAAATAATGATGTTAATATTCCATTTCTTAGAAAATGGTGCATAACATTGGGAATGTGCCAGGTATGTGCAATACCTCAAGTTTCAAACACAACGGAGGAATAAAGAAAAGGAATATATGGGCTTGAAGTAATAACATGTATGATATAAATGTTTACCTTCAAGCACGTCTTCTTCATCCTGGGATAAAGCATCTTGAATGATATAAATGGAATCCTATGTTCCTTTTATGATATTTAATTTCATGCTAATAACGTGGTGTATAAAAGCACAGCAAAAATCAGTCTTCTCCATGTATGGGATCTCAATCTTTTCTCTGTTGTGTGGAACAGATTCTGTGGTAGCAAACAAAGCAGCGCTGGGCTATCCTAGTCTCAGCAAGATTTGCTGTCTGTTTGCAGACCAGATAGCACAATGAGTTCTTGTTTTTTGCAAGAGGGGATCTCTTAAATGTTACACAGTGCAAATAAGAGGAACAGTATACACACAAGTAGGTCAACTCTTGATGCCTTGTGTCGCTTCATAGTTCCTTGGAAGTGTAATTGTGTACTCAAGCAGAAATAAGCCCCTTTAGAGATGAACTCTGTGCAAAGTGCGTTCTGACTTCTAGGACAGTTTAAGCATTGCCTGTCATAATACCCTGCAGCTGAGGCACCTGTCACATCGTCTTCAGAGAAAAGTAAAACTTACCATGTTGTGATAGTACTTGTGTGGAGGATGTACTTTGTATTATAGTTTATATGTGTGGCAACTCTACTGCATAGCTTATATACTCTATCCTATATGTATTTTTTACTGTACAACTGTGCATTTGTGAATAGTTTATTTCTGTGTTGCAAAACACGCTTGGCTCCTGGTGTGTATATATGGGTATGTAAACAGTGCGATATCATAAAGCTTAGGTTGGAAGAGGCTTCTGGAGATCTAGTCCATCATCCAAAGCAGAGCTATGTCAGACTGCTCATGGTTTTGACCAGTCAGGTTTTGGATATGTCCGAGGACTGAGAATCCACAAACTCTCTGGACACCTGTACCAGTGTTTCACCCCCTCATGGAAAATGAGGGTTTCCTTATATTATTGCATATACATTCCTTATCCAGAATAATTAGTTGGCTTATCTTCAGGTTTTTTTTCTTTGCTGTGCCCTATTTCTGTTTGCCATCTGTGGGAGAAAGCCTTCTCTTTTCATCAGCTTTGTAGTTTTTTCACCAAGGTCACATATTCTAACTGTGGCAGTTTTTAAGTGATTAAGCCATTGGACAGCAGAGTTTGGGCCTAGGTTTTAAGCAGAAAGAGAACTGCTAAGATGCTCCGGCCTTGTTATATTCGTCACCAGCAATGCAAAAACCTCTGCTTTGTGGCAGCAGTCACACCACCCAGGGCAAGGGTCCAGGCATCCCAGCCCACAAAACAGAGCCCCAGCAGTCAACATGCTAGCTCCATCTGTTGGTGAGGGCACCATGGTCTTACATGGGTCTGTCGTGTCCGGATCACTGCACTGGGATCTCCCTCACCTGAATGCTGGGTAAGTCTCAGAAATAGAGAACGCACCTTCCTCTCTCCAGACTCTAAAATGCACACTTACGCACCTGAGTGGACCATGGTTTTCATGTGATGTGCAAGTTAACCTTTGCCTTCCATAGGTACCACTACTCCTCCGATTCCAGATCGGCACTATGAGAGCCAGTTGTACCTTCTTCTCTTTGGATGGGTCTCCCTGCCCTTACCACCAAGGAAATAAGCTATTCGGATACTTCAGGGTTAATCTTCAGGTTTTCTTCATTAGGTAGAAGGCAGCACTATCAAGACTTGTGCCAGGTGGCTAACACTGACCAGTCACCTGTGGTTTGACTGAATTGTAGGAGAGTTCAGGTGATGACTATACTATGTTTTAAGAACGTATTTGCATTTAAAGTTTGCAATAACAGCCAGTTTCTGCTTCACCCATGCCTTCACCAAGCTTTCTGCTACAGCAGATGCTACTAACTGGGATATAGTGCTTGTCAAAGCTGCTTTTCAATCACTGTTTTACTAAATACTCTGACACTATGGGTGACCCCATCTGGTACCCTAGGAAGCATATTTGCTATGCATGAGAGGGCCAATCTGCAGTAATGTCTACATAAGGGCTTTTGCTTGTAAATATAGTTTCAGAGGATTTTGTTTTAAATAAAAAATGATAGCCCACTAATGTAGGTGCATTTTGCAACTATTGAGCAGTTCTATATGAATTTGGAAAGCACATAAAAAGTATTAAAAAATTCTTATTATGCTTTATAATGTGGTTCTGACTTCTTTCATAATTCACCTTTACAAGCAAATAAGTTGTATCTCTTTTTTTATCTTTATTAAAGAATAGTCCTCCTTTCATCCAAGTTTCAGCATTATTGGAATTTTAATTCAGATGTATCTTTAGTTTATGACCATCATTCATTTTTATTTGACATTCAAAGTAATGGCCAGAGTGGGCGGGGAAGAGGAAAACTGGAGTGGGAGAGGAAGGAAAAGGAATTCACCTTTGTTGAAAGCCCAACATCATAATTTATCAAGACCATAAAAAGTAGTTTATTGTGCATTTTTCAGCTAAAGATGTGAATGCCTAGTGAAAATCTGAGTAGTGAAATAGTGAACTGTAAATAACAGCACCAGCAAATATGAGACAACGCTCATTGTTAACGTATTTCAGATGTATAGCTTGTGGGCTTTTTTATTTCAACAAAAGTGTAAGCTTAATTTGCATTGGATTTATTGCTTTTAAATCAGTCATCACATTCTATTGAGTACTACAGAATAATTTTACCCAGCATAGGCTGGAAGAGCACCCTTTTCCTCACTACGGGTTATCAGAGAACTACAGCTAAATTTCTATTATCATAACTCATTTTTATTTCTTATTGTGGGTTGTCACATATTTTGACATACCACTGTCGCTTTTATGAAGGTACTCACAAATCACTATCTTTAGCTAATTCCCAGCTGTTGGAAAAGTTCGTTTTCTGAAAGGTAAAACCAGAAAGAGTAATTTTAAGTACACTGCATCTATTCAGAATGTTTTCTATATGAATTCAGTAAGTTTTGGAAGAACTCCAAAGTAAGTCTGGTTGTGCTTAAACACGTGAGGGCCCATTTAATTCAATGGGCCATTGACGAGTTGGATTGAGAACGGTCAGTTGAAGCTGAGGGCTGGCCAACTCATAGACCAAATGTTAAGTATAATTTCTACTTAATTATAGGCAATACCTTATGTGCAAGTTGTTACAGAATTTGGGAGAGGCTTGCTATATTACTGTTTTATTCACTCAGACATCACCGTATCAATTTTCAACATTGCTTTCTTTTGCAAAAAATACCTTACTTTCCCTCCCCGAGAGCGTAGCAGAAGCTTTTTAGTTGCAAGTGCAGCTGTTAAAGGATCAACATAAATTCTCATCACTGAGATCAGATCTACAAGCAGTAAAAACTTATCCAGGTGAAAACTAATCAGTTATGTGAAAAGTTTAAGTAGCCTCAGGCAAAATATTTCAAGTCATAATGGTCATAGAACATTTAAGAGATTAAATTCCCAACGGCAGTATGGACAAGGCCCCTCTGCTTCAAGAGGAAAATGATCGGCCACATGGAGGTGAGCCATGCTATGTCACTTCTTCTCAAGGCCAAAAGAAAAGGCTGTGATCTATTTCATTTAGAAGTGTGGATGTAGCCAGGGATCTGACTGTTTGCAAATTAAATGTGCCATTTGGGTATAGTCAAATCTATCATAGAATGGTTTGGGTTTGAAAGCACCTTAAGATCATCTAGTTCCAGCCTCCCTGCCATGGGTAGGGACACCTCACCCTAGACCATATTGCCCAAGGCTCTGTCCAGCCTGGCCTTGAACACTGCCAGGGATAGAGCGTTTACCACTTCTTTGAGCAATCTGTTCCAGTGCCTCACTACCCTCACAGTAAAGAACTTCCTTATATCTAACCTGAACTTCCCCTGTTTAAACCCATTACCCCTTGTCTTACCACTACAGTCCCTATAATGCATTCTGAATTCTATAAAGAAAGAAAGTTAAGATCTTTTAAATGAAAGACATGAGAAGCACAAGAAGAAATATGAGCTATTGAACCAGGCCCATTAGCAGGATTAAACTAAAATCAGCTCTCTTTTAAGAGAGAGACAAACTGCTTGATGTGCATGTCTTAATAGATACTGTCAGAAAACAGACTGGATTATTCTAGTGTTGTATTTTAAATGATAGCTGTACATGCTGACACACAGACTCAAGCAACTCCTTTAAACAAAATGGAAAACCTTCAGTTATAGAATTATGGCATCCAACATAATGTATAGACTGTCTACAGCTGAAAGGATACTTACATGGCTTTATTAATATTATTGATCCTACTGTTAGATAGCCTGATTTTACACTGGGTCAGAGCAAGGAGTTAGAGTTCTCCGTTACATACAGGGCAATTGGAATTTGCTTGTTTTCTTTTAGGGAAGGAGATGAAAAAAGGAAATTCTTGTGACACAGATAGTCACTAAAATCCTGAGGATGTAGTAGTAGCTCCCCACTGACTAACCCTTAATCTCTAGTTTTCTTCAAGGACATTTTCTTCTGTAGCAGCCTGGGTTTTATGTTCCTAACCAGTTACTATAGCAAAAGGTTGAAATACAAACAGCAAAATCATCTCATTGTGAGAAGCAGATGAGAGGTCTGCTTACTCCAGATAAGACATATGTACTAGACAGCCTCCAATCACACTAGTGAAGTTGAAGGATCTCATGAAGATTCTTTTCTCAGTCTAGGCGTTTGATATGTGCTTTACAAGGCAATTAGCCAAATCAAATCTTGTTAGGACAAGACAAACTATCATGTACTGAAAGACTTAAAAAAAAAAAAAATTGTCCTTATTTCATCTGTGCCATTTATCTTCCATTGTCTGGTTGTATTCTGTAGCTTGTTTTGGACCAGTGTTGCATAGAAGAGACAGTCCCATAGGTCTAGCACCTGTAGCAATTCAGTGGCAATTCCACTTTTGACTTGAATCAGGTTGTTCACTCGGAGCTTAACTGTGGTTTTGGTTCACTTTGTTGGATAGTCTGAGACATTCTCCTTGTCTCTGCAGAAGAGTCTTCTGATCTCCTGGTGGAGAAGTGAAAACCTTTATTAAGTGTCAGTAGAGACTGAGCAGAGCCTAGAGCCTACTGTCACAACACTTTTCAAAGGCTGATTGCTACTGAAATAATTTAGGATCAGAGAGGCCCATAGATTATTATTTAATTTTTTTTTTTAGTCATTTTCAGTGCAGTTTTTGCTTTCCACACCTTTAATCCAGGAGAGCCTGGCAGTGCTGACTGAATACAGAGCACTCATCACTTCCAAGTAAATGAAATAAGTGGGTGTTAACAGCCCTAATATTCACCATTTCTAAAATTCACTTAATTCTCTCAAAAATTCAGCTTAGGTATATAAGACTAAAGAACATGCATAGACCAGTTGTGTTAGACAGCTCCAGCACAGCCTTGCTTATTAAATGAAAGGGGTAACTCACTTCTCCTGGAGATGAGGGAAATAAATTAAAAATCAAGGTATTAATTAGGACATTATGTAATCTTTGCAAACATCTGCACTCCTTAAGACGGTTTCCAAACTCCTGACTGGATGGAAAGCTGCAGCATGTAAGAAAGAATGTACAGGCTTAGAGTATGTGAAACTTTAGTAAGAACTACTGGGGAAAGAACTAACAGAAAACCAACAATAAAGTCTGGCTGCTAGTAAGCTTAAGGCTATATAACAATTACAGGATCTGCTGATCTTAAGGAAAATTTTGATAAAGTAGCCTTTTCCTGTTAGCAGCTTCAAAATTTGGAGGCCACCATCTGGTCTCATCTCAAGACCAGCAACAGTAGCTTGGAGACTTGGGAAAGAAGGCTGGTGACAGAGTTTAGGTATTCTTACCAGAATCTGTAAAGAGTAACAGTACTTACATGACAACAGAGGACACAGAAGCAAGAAAGCCAGCAAGCAGAAGAAACATAAGAACACTTAGGATCGATGTAATGACAATCATGCCTCCACTCCTTCGACCAGGCCAGGTATCAATTTTCGAGGGAAGTTTAACTGGAACAGCATGGAAATAATGTTCCTATGATCTATTTTTGACCATGAACACCACTACCAAATGTGAGAAAGCCGGTGATTTAGGAAAGGTTAACTGATTATGTCTCTATCTGAAGTCTTAGATGATTTATGGGAAACAGGTTTAAGAGTCAGAGTCAGCATTTAGGGTTTATAAGCTTTTCTCAGCAGGTTAGCCAGTATAACAAGTATCTGTATTACTGAGAAATGTCAACAGCACCAGATACCACAACACACATCAAATCTGAGACCACATGTACAAACTTTATCTTTACTAAAGGAATTATTTTGAAGTACACAAAAGTAGAAAAATATTCCACATTTAAATCTGCTAACTCCAATACTGAATGTCTGACAAAAATGTTCAAACTGTAGGAAAGGCTAGGTGTTGCTTATAGAGCAACAGTGTCCTAAGGCAGCACAGCTACTCAGGAGAGCTGAGCAAAGCCAAAGACTTACCTCGTCTGGTTTTGATTGGGTCAGACCAGAGAGTTTGCTCTTTCACAGTTCCTTCTGTGGTATCTAGCAACAAGTATTTAAACCTGTGAGGAGAAAGTGTTAAATTAGGTATTTGAAATTTGATCTTCCTTAGTAGCATTTTTAAGGTACAGGATTAGCTGGTCAGACTTCAGGATTTGTCAAAGCAAAAGACTGAGACCGTCAAAGGTAACAGAATATTTCCAGACACCTTTTAAAAAAAAAAGATAGAATTACTCATGGGAGAGCATTCTGTGCCATGTCATGCACAGTTTGCACTTCATTCCTGTGGGCCTCGGCAATGATAGCTTTCCAGATGATAGTTTTTCCCAGCTTGCTATTCCCTGTTGTGAACAGCCTCATTATTTAGGACAAGTGGTTTTGATTTCCGTATGGAAGTCAAAGGTTTTGTCCAACAACAGAGATCTTTGGCACTTTTCCTCCTAGAGGAGAGACTTGAAGAGACAGGATAACGCTGTTTTGGCAAAGAAATTAAGTTTCCATTCCACAATAGTTTGAGATTTCAAAAATATCCCAAAGAGACAAGACAGTTTTTGCAAAACTGAGAGCCCATAGTGTTTTGTTTGGGAAGCATATTAGGTCTCCACAGAAGATGCAGCTCCATGTGACTACTATTTTTACTATAGCTTTTAAGTAGCTGGCAACAGCAAAACAAGTGTTTTGTGTAAGAGCTGTCATGGTGCCTACGTTTCCTAGACGGCCAGCTTCATCAGGCAACAGGGGTCAGACTAGCCTGCAAGCCACCTGGCCTCAGTGTGAAGTCTCCTGGAATATTAGGGCTTCCTGGAGCTGGAGACCAAGGAGGACTTTGGCTCTCCAGGGAGCCATCAAAACAAAGCAAGCAGAGCCAGATCAACCAACATGAAATACATGGTGAATAATCTCAACATCATTTTCTAGTCAAAATCCTTTTTTACCAGCATTTTCTAATTAGAGGCTGTCACTGGATTACCTACTCCAACACACATATAGATCCAGCAGTTCACACATGGATTTTCCTACTGATCTATGAATTTAACCTGATAGAGCTCACCACTGCAAACCACCTGCAGGGTGCTAGACCAAAGCCAAGCGATCTTCATATAACTACCTTCGCAGCAGATCATTTCAGTTAGGGACTGGTAATTCACATAATACCATCACGAACATTACAGACTCAGTGTTGCTTTCTGCTATGTTTTAAGAGCAGTATTCACTTTGTAAGAAATGAGAATTATACCTGTATGTTGTGTCTGGTGCAAGAGGTGGGTTACAGATACCTAGGAAGTTTGGGTCATACAAACAAGTCCCATCATCCCCGACTCTGAAGAGGTATTGTTTTAGGACATCAGAAACTTTGTTAATGTCTCCTACATCAGCAAGTTTGGGAGGCGATGCACAACTGGGCACATTGAACAAGGCAGCCTTGTAAGGTCCAAGCTGCCCCCCTCTTGTCTGTTGGAAGGTGCTGTCAAGTGGTTTGCTGCTGTTGATCACCAGGGAGCTTATTGCACTTGCTGCAAGAGAGAGGCATTTTAACAAGGCTGTTAGAACTAGTTCAACCCTTCCTATTCACCCTGTATTTATTTGGAAACTTGCACTTCTACCCCAAAAGTCTCAAAAGGGAAACCAAAAATCTGCTGTGTAGGGATCCTACCTTTTCCTCCTTATTTGTTGCTGAAGCTCTTTACACTTGTCTCTCAGAAGCTGGGAAGGATCCACAGCGTATCTTAAAGAAATTCTTTTTTAGTAGGCACCCTCCCAAAATTCCTGTTTTCCAAGGAGAATCTGGTGGAGCAGGGAAGAGGATGGCAAAGGCTGCTCTTCCACCATTCCACACCTGGCTCCAATAAGCATCCATTAAGTCCTGCCATTTCAGATTTGATACTATAGCCAGGGCAGAGCTCCTACATAGTCACAACTCTCCTGTTTCCTGGAGCAGAAACCCTTAGACCTCTGGTCACACAGCACCTGGACCTCCCAGAATCACACAGTATGCAGCCCACTGGGTAGGGACAGCATAAACAAACACAGTATCTACATTTCTGGCCAGCCAGGCATGTCACTGCTTCCAGACAGCATGCCTTAGGAAATGTGAAAGTCCTCACAGCTTCAAACAAAATATGCACCTGCACCCAGCCCTACAGCATAGCTCAGAAGCCCAGCTGCAGCTCACAAAGCTTTCCTGCTGCAAAGCCAAGGGCCAAGTCCCAAGAGATGCTCCCAAGTTCTGCAACTGCAGGTTAAATTTTCAGGCGGGGGAGGGCCAGGGCACCCCCTCCAGCTGTTCAGTACCGTCAGCAGCAAAACAATGGCAGTTTTTCCAAAGCTGTGGTACATTGGGAACTACTTCCACTTGGAAGCATTCTGCTGTGCTCCTGGAGATGAGTTCTTGCAATTGCTTGGTTATAGAAAACTTTTAGCTATGACCCAATGCAAATTTAAGCCTGTTAAAAGGGAAAAGTTTCTAACACAGGTTAAAAATACATCTTAAGGATCAGCGCTCAAGTTAGTTGAGCTCTGGCAACCTTCTCTTCAATGGGAGCCAATCTGCATGAAGGCAAATACTAAGATATGCTCTATTTTTAAGCTTGCTTCCCCAAATAATTATACTTCTCACAGATGGGTTTTCCTGCTCACCCAGTGTCCAACCCTGTAACTCTTAGCCTGGCTCTGGTGATAAGTAAAGTTGGGGTTTGCTGCTGCTGGGTTTTGGTTGCTTTTTAAACTTCACTAGGTAGATTAAATGTGATGGTAACATTAAGAAGAACAGAGAACAAATTTATAATATTTCTTCAGAAATTTGCTAGACCCTTAGCTTTGTAGTATGCTGACACATTTCCATACTAGTAAAGCTGAACATAAGGTGTTAAGAAAATCAATTTCTCTTTAATCTTCCTTCTCCCTGCTCCAGGAAGCATCCAAGGCTGAGCCAATGTGCTTCTCTGCAGACCAGATACAAATCCAAACAAAATTCCTCTCAGTCTTCCAAGTAACAAGTTTGCATCTGCTTGCCTTAAATACAGCAGAAGAGATTTCTCCATATAGAACCCCTTTTGCTGAGATTCACTCATCTGTGTAGGAAGCTTTTGCCACAGAATCAGCATAAGTGGGGTGGTTGATGTAATTTGCAAAACAAAACATATTTGCAGGTATAACTAGACATCACTAGACTTTTATATGATTATAATGCACTTAGTCTGTTTTAGGCTTATGCACACTTGAGTCATGGGACATGTCTCAGGTGGCCATGCATTCACAGCTGTCTATGTTAGCTGTATGGGATGGTGTCCCCGGTTACAGCTTCTACCTGTCCACAGCCACTTCCTACCACCTTGTACATAGTGGCAACAATGAGCAGTGAAAATTTTTAAGACTGTTCTGTCTGCTGGCCAATTTTCACTACCATTCTTTTGCCTCTCCCCAGCAAGATCTCTTCTTTACGCCTCTCAGCAAAGGAGACTCCATACAGCTCACAGGGGAGAAGGTGTGATATAAGGAAATAATTTATTTCTATCGGCTTATGGAGTAGCTCTAGCTGCTGTTCAAAACAGTCTGCCAGAACAGCAGGGAGCAGACAAGGCAGCTCTTGGTCACTGCCAGCAACATTTTATTGAGAAGCAGTTATGAAATTCATTTCATAACTGAACAAATGGACCAGACATATTTGACCACAAGTCTACCATGACTACAAAAAAGAATGAAGTCATTGCAAGGGCTGGCTACCTCAACTATAAAATAAAGTTACCCAGTTTTTCTCAGCAGGTTTACTTAGGGGAATTCAAGCTTTTATGCAAGAAACTTGTGTTCAGACAAAGATAAGGTACTGGACTGTGGACCACTTGGTTTCATTAGCAATATTTGGACAAACATCCATAGTTAACAGTTCTGCTCCACACCTATTGAGAGTCAACTAGCACAGTACTAACACTTGCTATCATTAATCAGCCCCACTGAAGTACTAGTTATTTGTATTATATTTTTTAATAACACTTCAGAGAAAATTCAGACCAGAGGCTCACCTTATACATAGCTTACACCTATAGATTTTTCTCTTTCCCCCCATTCAGATTCACTTCCATCAAACTGTTGGGAGCTGCACTCAATGGCCACATTATGCAGTTATCTTCAAGAGAGGCATAATACTGGATACTCACCCGATTCCTTCATTGCATATAAGTAGATGGCATAAGATTTATTTGGACGCAGTGAGCTGTCAAACATACAGAAGGGTTTTTCTAGAGAAACTGTAGTAAGTGTGGGGTTATTTGCAGCAAGCCGAGAGGCTGCAATCTGAGGCTTCAGGCTTTGATCTAGAAGAGAAAGTTACTCAAAAAAAAATATGAAAAAGTCTTTCTTCTCTTGCCCCACAAGCTCTGACACAAAAAGGAGGATCTGAAAGAGCTAACTACATCCAAGCATAGAAGAGGGGTGTGAACTGCAGATAGGCAGGAAATAGCTTACCTGACCTGTGAAAGTTCGAGATTTGGGAGTTTTGCTTTAATGCAAAATGGGGAACACAAGGATTTAGGGAGATAAGAAATGTTGCTTCTCAAACATACACATCCAAAGGACAGAAGCCAAGCCTCATTATGGAGGAAACTTGAACTGCTGTCTTTAGTGTCCTATGTACAGCTGCCTCCAGTGGCAGCATCAGAAGTTCTACAGTCAGTTCTCAAATCCTTTGGCAATAAGGAGTCCTTAAGGTTTGAAGACCAGACTTTTTAACATACAGAATGAGAGATTTAGCACAGTTTTACGCAAAGGAAAACTGTCTGGGTGAGGCACTGGAAGGAGCAAGTAGTACTAAAGTCTGTGTCAGAAACTTCGTCCCTCCCCACACAAATTAATCCTACCTCCAGTCTTTGAGGAAGGATTAACTAAAAGACTCAGCAGCTCCTTGTCCTTCCCAGCCTATCTGCAGTAGAGTCACTTCAGCAATCTTCCAGCAGAATAAATGTTTGAAGCCCTAAACTTCCCTCCCAACACAGGTCCTAGAGCAGAGTTGACACCCAAGACAAAACAAAAAAAAAAACCAATCCCAAACCCCAACAACATAAGATAATCAAAAAGGGAAGCAATACAAAGAGAGGGACAAGAGAAATGGAGGAAAGACTGCAGATAGATGCCTTTTACCTGCACACAGCTGTCCCAAGCAGAATACTAGCACAACCCAAGCGTTGCACATGCTTCAGCCCTCCAAAAACTTGCCACAAAAGGAAAACCAATGTTTTGATGTAGCTCCAACTGAAGAACTCCCACATTCACTCCTTCCCTGAAATCAACCACACCTGCTCCTTCCCTCAATGTCCCTGTGGTTAGAAGTTACCTGCCCCTTCAGCACCTCTTTATATGCTTGTTGCCCCTCCTGCTCAGGTTTCACCAATCCTCCAGCTAGTATCTGCTCCCAGGTGAGGCAGCTTTGTGGCTTTGATTTCCAGCTCATGGGCATTAGTTTTTCCCCCTCACCTGTATCATTGGTAGGTGGTTTTGCTCTTTACCTTCTTCTGTCTAAAAACTTCTGACATCTCTCATGGAGGGAAAATTCAGAACCGAGTATCTGAACCCTGCATCATGAATGGTTCTAGTTCAGAGCTCTAAATCTGAGAGCCTTAACAGAGGCTAAAATGGCCATCTGAATTATGTTTCCTGGGTTACATCCTTAAAAACATAAACCTCCTGCTTCTGGTTAACCCTAATGCGATTCAAGGTAACTTCATGAAGAGCAAATCACTGGGAAATCTGAATCTGAACTGTTGTATCAAATTGTTCAGCTAAGAATATGCTTGATGAGTAATTGCTGGTATGAATGATCTATTGTATGAAAGCTCAGCTTACAAAATTCTTAATCACCCACTTAAAACAGGCTGAGGGGAAAAAAAAAGTATCAACAAGATTTTACAGAATTAATGGGGCTAACATGATGTCACTGCAGCAACTCTAGGTTTACACTAATATCACTAAAGTTACCAAATGCATGTCCTTTATGGTTATGCCATGGGCCTCAGAAATCTGTTTGAAATATGTAATCAAGTGATTATAATGCAATTTCCTCCCCATATGTGTTTCATTTTGTTTCAAATTCTGCACGTCATCTTCAGTGTTTTTGGTTTGACTTTTCTTACACTGCTTTTGAGGGAGAATATTGAATACAGGAGTTACTCTAGATTTGCACTGCTGTAGAATAAGTTGCATTATTCCTTCTCACTGTACAATGCACTCAAAGCCTGTGCTGGCATAAGTACTCTGGCAAATCAGATTAAGCCAAAAAAGAGCTTACCCTTCTGTCTTTTATTCCTTGGAATTGGATTTTTAACATTTATACTAGGGGGGTTAGTTGTACAAATTCGGTACTGATCAGCTCAAGAGTGAGTTTATCCCCTCAAACAATATGGTAATATACAAACCTGTGAGATTTCTGACTCTGCAGTAAAAGCAGAGCTTAAGAACAACAAGATCTTCTTTCTCCATCATAAAATCAATACTTTCTCCAAACAGTGATTCTTGTAAAATAGGATCCTGAATTCTTTAATTCTTCAGTTGTTTGGGGTTTTGGTGTTGTGTTTTGTTTTTTTTTCCTTAAGACAGAAAATAGGCACATTATTTGCCTAATTTAAAAAAAAAATAGACATCAGGACATATTGAATGGCAGAGAAAAAGAAATATCATGCTTCATGGCAAGCATGCCACTTGCATGTGTTACAAAATACTCTTGCAAGTTTTATAAGAAGGTGCTGCTCCTTCATTCACTTGTTAAAGCATCAAAATGAACAACAGAAAAATAAAATCAATTTTAAAAATCAACAGATTAAGGCCCAGAATCACAACAACATTTTTGATTTAAAGGTAGCAATTCTTGATTTTAGATTGACAGCTCTCAAACAATAAAACCAGCAGTTATTACCAGTCAAACTCCACATGAACTTCTTGGAGTCTTGCCGGGTGAAGAGCTGGCAACTGCTCTATGGGCTACAGTCATGCAGGTGATTAATTTTACAGCAGCCAGGAATATGCCATAGAACTGCCCATCACAAAAAATTAATCACCTTGCAAAGTTTCAGGATGATAATTTTAGCCATTATTTTTCAAGAGGTTGCTTTTTAAAGCCATCATGATTTACCTGAGTTCAAAACCGTCTCATGTTCTGGTGGAATTCAGCAGCCACAATAAGGGGGGATAATGTTGCCTGTGCTGCAGGATTTTAAAATGGTTGGGTTTGTTCCATGCTCAAAAGAATCACAAACAAAGGTAGGAAACTAACATGACAATAAACTCTCTCAGCTCCATCTGTGCTGGCAGATGTGTCTTAAATTAGGACCAGATCTCATCCTTGCTAACATTTGTGTAATCCGTATTATCTCCACTGAAGTCAGGGGAGCTGGTCTGGATTTAGAAGATGTTTCCTTGAATAAACTTAACCTCAGCATAATTACAGTATTCCCTGAAGGAAGCACAAGAGAAGAAATAAGTGTAAATTCCTATGTCTTTGTTTAAGCAGCAGTGCCAATTTTCATGCTGTATGTTGCCTTGTGGGTAATTCTGGAGTAATTTATAGAATCCTATAGAATCCAGTTTGGATCGATGGCTCCATGAGAACAAAATTTGCCTGTATCCTTGGCTTTCCGGGGCTGTGTGTAGCCCATAAGCATCTGAGAAGGAATCATAGAATACCATGTTGGAATGGACCTCAAGATCACCTGCTCCAACATTTCTAGGCAAAGCATGACCTAGGCTAGATGTCCCAGTACCCTGTCCATCTGAATCTTAAGTGTTCAACATCAGGGAGTCCACCACTTCCGTGGTAATATTATGTGGATGCCCCATCCCTGGCAGTGTTTCAAGGCCAGGTTGGACAGGGCTTGGAGCAACCAGGTCTAGTGGAAGGTGTTTCTGCCCATGGCAAAGAGGTTGGAACTAGATGAGCCTTAAGGTCTCTTCCAACTTAGGCCATTCTGTGATTCCGAGTCTATGTCTATTCTAATGGCTGATTGCTCTTATTGTGAAAAATTTTTCTCTTCTGTCCAATCGGAGTCTCCCCAGGAGTAACTTGTAGCCATTACCACTCATCTCCTCTTCAGAATGTAGCCTGAAGCCTCAAAATGCCATGAAATGTATGGAAACTTCCAGGATCCAAAGTCCAAACCTTCTTTACATTCTCAGTTGTGGGTGTAGTTGAGATAATCTTGCATACTCTGCTGTGCTTCATCTCTCTGATCCACTACAAGGGCTAAAATATGTCTGTAGAGACATTAGTGTTTAATAAAGAGATTAAAAAGCATGGTGGTGACATCTACCAGGCAAGAGATAATCTAATCCAAAAGGTGAAAAAGACAAATAAAACGTGGAATCTGTTTTAAAGTATTTTGAAAATCCTCATTAGTTTTCTGCATAGCTACTATTAGTTTGTAATTTCCTGCAGACATCCTGGTGGGTGTAGACCTTGAGGACTGAGCTGAAAGAGGAATAATGCCTTTGTGAATTAATTCTTAGGAAGTATTCCACAAATATAGAATGTCTTGAAGAGAATGCAGAGATGGTTTAAAAAAATTCTGATGAAACAAGTCAATGTTTGTGAGAGTGCTGGATTGTAAAATATGTGAGAGTGAGGACAAGTTGGAATGAGAAACAATGGAAAAGTTTTTCCTTCCATCCAGTCACTTTTCTTCAGACATAATCTGGCAGGAACTATAACCACCTCTACAGCTCAGTCTTAATGCATCATCTGGTCTGCAGAGGTCAACCGCAAGGGAAGCAGCTGTCTACTGGTGTTACAATAAGAGCATCTGTCCGTCTGAAAGTGGCACTGGAACCGAAAAATCTATTCAAAGGAGTTACTAGTTAGTGACTACCAGCTTCAGAAGTGGTTGTTCTGGTGGCTGGTATTGGTAACAGATTGTCATGGGCATTGCTGGGAAAACCGAGCTATCCTGGCAGTGGAAAATGTCATCTAATGGTAAATAATTTTCAGCCACTTCCACACTGTATTTATAAGGCAGCAGATGAAAGGGGGAAATGTCCCATTTATTTAGGGAGAAAACTCCTTGCTGAAGCAGGAGGTGAAATACCTCTTATGACATTTCTTTTTAAGTCTTTCCAGAATACTTCAAGGCAGTAGGAGATTAATATCTCACAAGATCTGCTGCACAAAGGCCACACGGATGCCTGGTACTGGCATCCAGTTCTGAAATCTCTTTTTGTCTTTGGTTTCATGGAGTATTTCTGTCCTTTGCTGCTGCCATAGGGGGCATTCACTTCTGAACATAGAATCTACGCACCTATTAATATGGCCTCAGGATTTATTTTCAGGGTCTCTCTTCCTCCTTTCCTAAGAAAGCACGTACAGAGAATGAATCTTCGGAAGAGGCCAGCAAACCACTTTCTTAAAAAGGGACCAACCGATGTGATGGAGATAACCCCATCCTACATTCACTCAGCACAGGAATGTGCTGAGTGGGGGTCCCATCTGTGCACAGATCGGAGCAGAATGACTCACTGAGCCATTGATTTCTTTAAATTAGAAATCTTTCATGTGTCCATAAGGAAATATGAAGGCTCACTTAGAAAAATGAAAACCTGGAACTTATTTCATCATCTGGTGACAATTAATTTTGTGCAAAATCTGAAAGGTCAAGCAGTGGAAACATCAGGAAGGTTAAAAATAACTTTCTACTTAGGAAATCAGGGCCACACCGTTGCCTAATATAAATTGGCATGGCTCCATTGAGGTAAATTTCTTACGAACAGAAGAACCAGTCCTTCTTGCATTCCTCTCAAAAGTCACGTATAAGATCTTATCACTGCAGTAAACCCTGAACAGTCACAGAACACTGAAACATCTGCAGCTTGGAGGAGCCGGGGTGAAAATGAAAGGCCTCTTTGTTACACAGAAGTTATTGTTTTCTTTGCTGAGGAAATGTCCTACTATCTACAGTTATCTGCTTGAACTTTCCTCTCACACTGTAAAGAGCCACAAAGACATACTTCTTTTTATGAAAGTCCTGCAGTTTGCTGCAGCCTTCTCAGAACTGCCTCTTGTGATGTATCATTTGTGCCAGGCAGGTCAGAGTAGGTTGGTCCCACATCTTTCAACTTACAAAAGGATAATATTTTCCTACTTCAGTGAATCGACTGCTGGTTGAGTGGCTTGCTCTAAACATTAGTTATAATGAGGAGTAATACTTCCGTAGAAGAGGAAGAAGAGAAAGGGTTTTGGTACTTCAGAGTGATTGGTTAACTGTGTAGTACCTATGGCCAAAGTAACATGGTTTTTGATGAAGAACTAAGCAAAGATGGCAGGGAATGGAGTTAATATTCCTGGCCTGTGAATTGGCTGCATTCCCTAAGC